AACTTGGCGAGACCTCATCTCTACAATAAATCAAAAAACTAGCCGGGCATGGTAGCGCACTCCTGTAGTTCCAGCTACTTGGAAGACTGAGGCGGAAGGATCGTCGCAGCCCAGCAGGTCAAGGATGCGGTGGCCCAGGAGCGGCCACTGCCCTCCAGTCTGGGCGACAGAGTGAGACTCCAACTCAAAAAAAAAAAAACCATAAAATAAATAATAGAAATATAATACTCTTTTTTAACAACTACTTTTCTATTAATTAAAATTTCTCATTTCTCATTTCCTTATTTTAGTTTGGAAAGATAAAACTCATTCTACCTTAAATCCATCGAAGTGTCTAGTTTTCTTTTTCTCTGAAGGTTGTGCCTCTGCTGTGTTATTCAAATGTTGATTTTGGTCCATGATTAACTGAAGATATGTGTAAGTGGTTTTAATTGTTGTTGATGCTTAGTTTGAAATGATCACCTATTTGGGAAGAAAAAGTATAATTTATTTTACTTTAATAATATACAATTCAGAAGTAAGAAAAGTCACAAACTCAGGACCTGACCACTGGACTAGGACATTGCTGGACACAAAAGGAGGAAACACACACACAAAGTCCTAGCCTAGAGAAATTATAATTTAGTTAGGAAAATAAATTTATGGAAAGTAATTTGAAACAGGTAAATAAGATAATATAGAATCACACAGCAGATCATATAAACAAAAAATTTAAATTACAAAAATTCGATTTTTTATAATTTTTACATATCTAGATTATAAGATTTACTTTAAAAATTATGTTTAATTCATCCTTATTGTTTTACAAAGTGCCAAATAGTGCCTTGCACATAGTAGCTACTAAAAAATGAGTAGAAAAATAACATAATGAAATGTAATTATAATGGCCTAAGATAGTTTCATGGAGGAGATATCTCTGAAAACCAGGCTTGAAATGCAGATCGAGTTTTGATTTGTTAGAAAGTGTAAAATATACTTCAAGTATTTCTCAGACAGAATCTGGCTATGCTTGACCTAACCACCATTATGGTCTTTTTAAAATTTTATTCATTTATTTTTCAAGAGAAAATATTTGTATGTAGTTAAAATTGCAAATTACAAAAAGACAAAGATTCTTCCTCTAACCCTTGTCCTCTTATCCAGAAATATGATATGTACTTTTAATTCAGTACATATTTTCTTTTTTAACACAAATGGCAGCATGACATTAACACTACTCTTGCCTTTTTACCGTCCGAATGCACTTAACTTTATATTAATGAGTCCTCCTCACTCTTCTTATGGTGACAGCAGAGAATACTCTGTTGTCCATAATATGTTTACCTGTTCTGTGTTGATTGGTATACAGATTATATCTAATTATTTAATATTAGAAAATATTCTTAATATGTCATTTCTCATTTTCTTATGAGTGGCTATATCTGTAAGATAAGAGAAGTTTTGGAGTCAAAATATAAGAGAAATAGTAATTTTGAGAGTAATCAAGCCCCTATTTTTAAGACTCTTAAAGTGAGTAAACTTTTTACTTCTAATCATTTTTTATATAGAGTAGTCAATTCTTCACTGCAGTCTAGAAGTGTATTCTTGTTCATAATATGTGCATAATACATATTTATGTATTAAAATGTCTATATAGACACACATAGCATAGACATATAATTTTAATAGGGTACTAATTATATAATATGTTTAACATATTATATGTATAGTTGATTCTTACTGTTTCCTGTAGTGATCTTTTATAAAGTAGCTGAGAACACTGAATTAGCAAATACTGAATCATTGTTACTAGGAGATATACAAGGCTAGGTTCCTGAGTGCCTCTGGTCACAAAATTTTTGTCAGTCAATCAATACATAATCTTGTTTTATGTACATTTCTATTTAAAGACAGTCTAACATATAGTGTTGTTTCATTAACATTGAATTAGTGACCAATAGCACTGCAGTTCATGCCTGAGGAAAACTTGTATAGCACATGTATATTTTTCATCAAGCACTCCTGCATGCAGAAACAATGGACTACAGTAGAGCACCATGCTTGGGGACTTTAAACAGTAAATTCAGCAACACAAAGTGCAAAAAAAGAAAAAAAGTGGCAATACAAACATTGGGAAAAGGACGCTTGTTTACAGTATGTGAGTTAAATCAAGGAGGCAGAGCAACACCTTATTTGACCTCGGCTGGGAACACAGCAACTCAAATTTTTTGCCACTCTGTACATGCATGTGAATGACCACAAAAGCCCAGTGGTATTGATTTTGATGTTAAAAAAATTTGTATTGACTAGACAAATGTTCAAATGTAGAAGAGGTGAATAATAAGGATTGACTGTATATTTTATTAATTGATTTCTAATATTATAAATATATAGATAATATATATGAATATATAATACATATTTAATAAATAATGCATAAATATAAAAAGAGTAAATACCTGAGGATATTAACACATATGCATATGTGAGTATGTATTGACATCTGAAAGAATGCAGAAACACATCCTATCATGCCTGTGTAGAGCTAAGTGAACTCTGATTAATCCATGTTTTGCATTTGATTTTTGCATGTGTGTACCTGAGACAATATACCTGTATAATCATTAAGTTTTTCTGTATTTCCTCTCTTTTCTGAGACAACAGTTCCACACATCTCTTCTAGATCTTCAAATAAAATATCCAGCACAATTTACATATTGAGCGTTGTGCCTCATTTCTCACAAATAACAAAAAAGTACTTGAAAAGTGGAATATAAATTTAGGCTTGACTACATACCACATTTTTTTGTTTTATCATGGCATTTTAAGCCATATTTGGAGATCTTTACCATATTTTTCTCTGAACATATTTTTTTCTGAGTTCTAAATTATTGACTCATATTGTGAATTTGAGGAACATAATATGTTTACCAGACAAAACCATAGGCAGTTGGATATCACACTGCAATGCTACCCTGAATGGATCAGGTCATTTATTCCTATTCTGATTGGGGTGGAGTGGGGAGCAGAATCTTACCAGCTTCTATTTGTTGTGTCAAGCTTTTTCTGTATAAGGAGTTGTACAAAAGCATGCCAAATGACTCAGTTTCTAGAATGTGCGCATGGAACTAAGAAGGAAAAAAGAAAGGGAAAACAGCATTTCTATGTAGAGCTCTTCTAAGTGAACTCTTACACCTTTAATAGGAGAGACTTCCTGCATCTCCACTTTATTTTAATATTAACAATAATTATCTTGTAAGAAGACACACCGTCCTGAATTGAAGAAAGGAACTAATATTTATTGATCCCTTAGTTCATAGAACTATGCTGAGGATATTTTTTTCTCATTTGATCAGAAATAAGATTATCTACAAAAATCTCCTTCTCCTCATGTAGAACCAAACTTGAGTTGAAACAAGGCAACTGAGACACTTTCTCTTTCTTAAGTTTCTCAACTAATTCTCATCCTGCCCCACCACCATTATCCACTTATGATAAAATCAAATAAATAAGGTGTTCAGTCTAATATTTCTATGTAGTTGATTAGAATAATTATCTTGTAGCATATTTTAAGAAGGAAACTAAAGGTCTACTTTTTCAGATTTGAAATCCCATTTGTCTAGAAAGTAACAGGAACAGTTACTGATAATCAAATCTTATTATTTCATTTATAAAAGTATAGTTTCTTCTAGTTTGTCTTTAAAAGTATACAAACCAGAGGATCGTTTATTTCCAGAAGGAATATTTACTAGGTTTTGAGGGCTTGGAACGTAAGTGTGTAGAAGACACAAAACATAAAATGTATAATAGTTATCAAAATATTTTTCCCTGAGATTTGTGAAAATTTCTTACATACAAGAAATGTTGAAAGTGCAGAATCTAAGTGGCTCTTACCTGGACTTGGAATCCTACAGCAACTGCAACAAGTCCATCCTTTATCTGTTGTGAAAGTCTCTCTTTAAATAGCTAGTTGGATTTTTTTTGGTTTTGTTTTTAGCATTCCAATGATGATTAACCTTCTTATTAGGTAATTGTCCTAGGCAAATAGAAAAAAAAGTACCTAGCTAATTCTAAGAGTTCACTACAGGCTACTATTTCTGAGAATTTTATATATTATTTTATGTTAGTGTTTAAAAATAAACTTTTTCTGAGCACGGCTTGTATTTCTTTATTTCATTAAAGTGCTTGTAAAAATTAACCTTAGAAATACAAATATAACAAATTATCCAAAGTGTTTAAAACTCTTCCATGTAGAAAATAATTCAAGACAATTTTTAAAATAACCTATAGGTTACATTAACATTCAAAGAATTAAAGTACTATTTTTGCTTGGGACATAAATATGGTTCCAATATGTCATGGATGGATACTGGATGCCTCTCATAGAATGGTAAATTGTCAATTAATTCCAAGACAGATCTTCTAAATGACAAATATCAAGACTGCTTATCATGATAGTTTTCTTACATCGACACTTGAAATAATGAACACATAGTTTTCTTCTATCTGCATGGCTTTTAGAACTCAGTAGAAAGTTTTCTTTAATTTTTTTCTTTAAGTTTAATTAGTAGATTCAAGAAGTCCAACATTTTTGACTCCCTGCTATACCTCAGACATTGAGCTCTGTTCTGGTAGTGTACTAATGTAAAGAAGGTACCAACACTTCTCATACATGAATATATACAAAATACATATATATATATATACACACACATAAATATACATATATATATATCTGGTAAAACAAAGATGCATATGAAAACATTATACTTTACCTCTCACAGGAAAATTTTTGATACAATTTTAGCAACATATATTTAATTTCTATGCCATAGCTACTTGATAGATTAGTTCTATTCCTGTTTAATTCTTGAAAGTATTGGAATCATGGGAAGAATCAAAGAGTGTGAAGGGGGAGAAAGATTAGGAAATGTAGACCTGAGAGTAGGAAAATTGAGGCCAGGCTCTCAAATACTCCTCTGCTGAGTCAGAATCTCCTGGGATGTCCTTGTCAAAACATTAATAGCAATCCAGTCCCACACTCAGGAGATTCTGACTTGGTAGAGCAGATGTTATTCTTTTTTTTAGTAAGCACTTTGAATAATTTTCACATACTGTCAGATTTCAAGAACTGTCATAGTAGAGACACAGAACATTCTTCATCATTTTTATGGACTTCCTTAATTCAGAGTGGGAATGCTGTTTTCTCCTCAATCATCCATTCTTTCCAATATACATCTACTTGTTTTGAGACAAATATACACATAGAAAATGCAGGTAAAGCAGAAAAAACTGAGAACATTTCTATTCTCTAAACTAAAGCTGTCAATGATAAAATTCTGGAATGTATTCAGAGTTCAAAGGGCAGTATTTGTGGCCCTTTTTTTCTGACTGTGTAAGTAATTAGATTGCTCTTCTTGTGTCACGTGGAAAAATGAGAGTGATCTGAGGAAAGATGTTGCAACACTTCTTTCAAAATAAATACTATGATAACAGTCATGGCTCAATAGCATTGCAAAATTTGCTTAAAACAATTTATTAATATTAATTTTAGATAATCTTCACAGTTCTGTTGAAATACCATAGTCTTTAAAGTCTGATAAACTTTGATGCCAATATATTTGTCAGAAATATAAGCTTATGTAGGTTATTTAACTTTTCTAAGCATCAATGTTCTCATTTATAAAGTGAAAAGTCAATTAAAAGAAAGGATTTAGTGTATGTAAAGTGCCTTACATAGTACATGGCACATTATAGTTCAACACCTAATTAGATTAATTGTATGACATTTGTATATTATACATTTTTAGAGCAATTAATTCATATTAAGTGAGTAAAAATAAAATCTCTGAGATGTATGCCCAACAGTTTTTTTAAAATAGCATTTAGTCCCGTAGTTGTTAGGTAGGTACCACAGCCTTACCTCAAAAGGAAGACTTCAGACTCAAAGAAATCCTGCATTGCCAACCCACCACAACTCCCTTGGTGACTGTCAACATATACCTCCAGAAAGGCTGCATACTCCTGGAAAGAATTCCTATATTTTCAGACCCATCAATACTCAAAGCTCTCTTATCATCACAACTAACCTTATTGTGGGAATTATCTCTCATATGGTAGCCAACATCATGAGAAGGTAGTGACTTTCTGATCACTCACCACCTCTTGTCTAATTCCCATATGGCTCTGCATGCTCCTGTTTTTGCCGTCTCTAATCTCTCTCCTGATCCTGAGCTGAAACCCTTCTCATGAGCTTTCTGGAACTCATGACTGATTATGAATAAAATTCCCCCCTTTCAGCCCCTTTGAATTATTCTACTTCACTTCTTGATCAAAATTAAACTTTGCCCTTCCCAATACACCAGTCTCCTGCAGCCATGATAAATGCCAGTTGCTTTATCCCCTATATTGCTCCAAATCAGATGTCCTGTTCCAATTTGCCTTGTTTTGTTACTTCTATTCATTTTCCCACATTTTTGCCCAAAATAATATTTTAAAATTTCCTATCCAAGGACTCTATTATTTATTCTTCTTGTTGGAATCATCACAATCATCAATCACTCTCACTTACTTCATGACAATTTCAAGCCTTGATTCAAAGCCAGTCTCTCAAAATACCATGGCTATTTTAATTACTGATGATTTTGGTGACCATACAGAGAATACTTTTAATTATCTGGCTTCCTACTTTCTTAGCTTTCTCTTCTCCAATGATCTTGACTTCTACCCACTTTATAGGCATATCTAGACTTTGTCACAGATAAGGCAGTCCCTTCATGATTTCAGTTTCAAGGATGTAGCACCACTGTCTATCTTTTTAGCTCACACTTAGTAGTATATTGAATTCAATAATTCTTCTGCCAGTATCTACAATCCATAGATTAATTTTGCCAGAGAGTTAATGGTTCTTTATCTCACTCTTGTCCTTATTTTTCTTCAGGTATGAATTAGTCTGCTTAATTGTGGTAATCACTCTCTTCCATATAACTTCACATAATTTTGACTCTCTTGCATGATTTTAATTGCTTGACAAAGACACAACCTTGATTAATTTCAACTCTCAGATAATTCTACCCATTCACCCCTGGAACTGAAGTTAGCTGAAGAAAATCCCTCAACCATCTAACTTTAAATTTATGATCTTGAAAACCAAACCTTTTAACTTACACTTTATTTTTCTAATCCATGTCTTTTCACTTACTGAGTATATTGTACCTTTATCTCTTCTCCCAAAACTCTTAACATTTTTAATCCTATTCCTATCTTCAACTGCTAACCTATTTCACTGGCAAAAAAAAAAAAAAAAATGAAGAAACATTCCCCAAACTTCCTCTACCACATCTATCTAAGTAAGCACCAGTGCTACATGTTCTGACTTGATGAGCTGTCCATGTTTAAACTAAGGCCAGCCTCCTTGTGAATCAGATTTCCTCCCCTTTTTGTGTTTGCAGGAATATCAATTTTTCTTTTCTAAACAAATGGTCCCATCAACATATAAGTATGCTGTCACTTTCTTATCTTCCAAAATTTCTCTTTTGACCCCGTTATTGTCCCCAATTTGCCATACTTCCATGTTATTTTTATAGAAAAAAAATCCAATCTATTATTATTGTTTTAAATTTCTTTCCTAACATTTTCTATTGAGCCTACTCCTGTCAGGTTTTTGCCTCCAACTTTGCACTGAAACCACTCTACCTGAGTTATAAATTGCCTAAATGCTACATGTAAGGGTCCTCATCTTACCTGAACTCTTAGCGTTATTTTTTAGAGCTGATCATTCCTTCTCCCAGCAATATTTTCCAGGATACTATCCTCTGTAGTTTGCCTTTCAATTCACTGATTTCTCCACTTGCATTTCATTTACTAAATCCTTTACATATATTTGGCTTTTCAATTAAGGCATCTCACAATTCAACTTTCGTGTGTGTGAATATGTGATTTCATCTCCTTTTATAGCTTAAATGTCTTCTATATGCTGATAATTTTAAAAACCGTATCATTTGCCAAGTTATTCCAAACTCTAGATTTAGTCATTGTCTTCTTACCCCATACACACCACACACACACACACACACACACACACACACACACACACACACACACTCCTATTTAAAAATGTAACATTTGAAATTTCCTAACTTGCTCTACTCCCCGTACTGCAAAACTATTAAAATTACATGATTTTATAAAATATGTTTGTATATCTTTTCCCTAGTAAATATAAGTAAGGAAGGGGCAGGGACTTTGTATCTTTTTTTGTCAGTCTAGATTGTGTTTGGTATATTATAGAAACTCAATAAATATTTTGAATAAATATATGTGCATATATATATACCAGATTGGACTATATATGGATATCTATATTTCTCAACTAGTTTGAAAAACATTTAGTTGAGATATATATGTGTGCGTATATATATATATACACTCATATATATATATATATATATACATATATCTGTGTGTGCGTGTCTGTGTGTGTGTGTATATATATATGTATGTATATATACAAATGTATAAAACTTAACATTTTTCAAACTGGTCTTCTCATCTTCCTTTTCCAAACCTCTCCTCCCAGCATAATCCCCATTTCAGTAAATTGCAATTCTATCCTTTCAGTTGTGTGCATACACACACATGAGCGTGCACACACACAGACACATACTGGTATAATTCCTATTTCTCTCTTCTCACATTAAGATCAGACTCTAATTTTAAAATATATTCAGAATCTAACAACTTCTCACCACCTCCACAATGATCACCCTGATCCTGAATTATTGTGATACCCTCCAACTTTGTACTTATTCTTCCTTCTACCTGAAATAGTTTGCCTACATATGCCCATTTTTTCACTTAAATTGTTTTTCTGCTCAACCATTGTTAAGTCACAGATGCTTGCCCTGACCTATTTAAAAATGTAACATTTGAAATTCCCTAACTTCTTACCCTACT